AAGCATAGGATTTCCAGGAAGGATATTTGATTTTGGAGCTTGTTCCCGCCACTGACTTAAAAGTGGGAGTACAGACACTTTTATCGTGCTGTTGGCTTCCAAAGCTGGCTGAAATCCAGAAAATTAGGAACTAATTCAAGGTACCTAGAACGACCTGCCTGCAAGCAGGAGAGGAAGGTCTTTCCGTTTAGTGCAGTTTTAATCACGGAGTACATTTCCAGAATAATAATAATAATTAATTAATTAGAAAGGGCGTTCAGGGAGTTTTCTTGAGTCAAACGTCCCACCACTTGGGTTCAGGTCTTCCCCTTTAGATGGAGACGAGGGGCACTCCCAGTGAGCTCTGCCCGCAGGGCAAGCGGGCCTTCTCGGCCTCGGGCCGGCCCCGCGGCAGAAATCCCGGCAGGATCGCCCCTCACCTCTGGCGGGAGCTACAGCTCCAGCCGGCGCGGGGCCGGGCCACCGCGCTCCCTGCAGAATGGGAGCGGGCGGCCCCTCCCTGCCACCTTCCCCCTCAGCTCCCCTCCACCCGTTCCCCTCCTCTCACCCCCTCAGTCCAGGGAGTTTCCCAAGCATCCCAAAGCTTGAGTTTCCTGCCTGGGGGAAGGGGCAGGCGCAGATAAAAGGCATGCAGAGGACCCGGGGAAGCCACAGTGCCTTGGCGCTTCAAATCCCCGCGCCTGCTCGCTTCCCTCTCGCCGCGCTCTGCTCGCCACCATGAGACTCCCGCCCCGCCGCGCCGCCTGCATCCCCGGCACGCCCGCCTCGCTGTGCGTGCTGGTCCTGCTGTTGCTCCTGCTGACGCCGCGGGGTCCCCTCGCCAGCGGTGAGAGCTCACAGCGCGGCGCGCACCGGGGGAGCGGCTCGGCGCGGGGACGCGGCCCGGGAGGGCCTGCCGCGGAAGAGCTCACCCAGCAGCCTGCCCTATAACGGTGTCTCTCTCTGCCCCAGCTGGTCCTGTCGCGGTCATAGTGAGAGAGCTGCGTTGCCTGTGTTTAACCACCACACCGGGGATTCCTCCCAAAATGGTCAGTAATCTGCAGGTGATCGCCGCGGGACCGCAGTGCCCCAACGTGGAAGTGGTGTAAGTCTTCGTGCCTTGCAGTATTTACTGTGACCTGACAGGAGGGAAATCCCTGGTCCTGGGTCTTCAGCCCCTGTGGCCAATGGTTTCATCCTCTTTTCCCTTCTGCAGAGCCACCCTGAAGAACCAGAGGGAAGTCTGTCTGGACCCAGAAGCCCCGTTGGTGAGGAAGATCATCCAAAAAATTTTGCACAGGTACCTGTCCCTTTGATCTTTGTAGTTTCTTACCTTCTTTTGGTGCAGACTTCTCAAGGTCCTGATTTTCTGCATGGAATTTGGCCATCACATTCCAGACCACACTTAGAATGAAAAGACTTTTTAGAAGAGAAGAAAGTTGTTCTGAAATGCCCTAGAAAAACCCGTATCATTAATCTTACA